ACATAATATGCTGATTCGTTGTTTTTTTTTTCTTTGAGTGTTTTCCTGTTTTAAAAACCGGTCTTTTTTGGGAGTGAGGGATAGGGCCTGTAAAAAAAGGGGGAATATGGGGAGGGGGTTTTTGAATTACGCCTCCCACCCGGGGGAGGGGGGGGGGGGGGGGGGGGGGGGGGGTGGCAAAATTCATTTTTTGAGTGACGTTTTACTGCCGTTTCGTCGTGGTTGTTTGAGCTCTAGTTGCTTTAGCTGCACTCGTTTCGCTCTTCGCGCAAAATGCGCCTGTTAATATGTAGGCTATAAGTGCTTGAACTCTAAATGGGAGAATGACGTGAACCATGACAGATGACAGTGACCTACTCTTCTTGGTGGACCGCATACTCGAACGGTTGTTGTGATTTCTGAGCCACATAAAACCAATGTGTATATCAAAATTCTTCAGTATACTATGTGAATGTGCGATTTAAATTACCTCGAGTTTGTAAACAGTATTAAAACAGTATTAAAATATATGAGGCTTTTGTGTTTTTAAAATTTTGTGTTCGGTTTGCCATGACAACTGATGTGACTACCGTCGATCGACCATCCGATGACGTCATTTCCAACCTAATATTGTGCCCATCTGCCCATGCGCATACCCAAACCAGTGAAGGGTAGATTTTTGCGGCATAGGATTGTGACTTCTCACTCTTTCTCACGGAATTTCAGAAATATTTCACGGACCAACAGCAAAGAACTGTATAATTCCAAGACCTTTGTGAAGGTCGACATCCTAATATCTTCTTTTTATAATCATTCCGGGTTCAAAGCATGCTAGCTGACAGAGTTTGTTTTGTTTGGTTCGTGCTTCTGTGGAGTTCTGCTTATTCATATCGTAAGTCGAGTTTCTTTTACAAGTGGTTTTAAGCTCTTCCGCATCGAACAAAATTTGCGGGATGGAAATCGTGAAATGAAAGATAACATCATTATTTTAATTTCACAGGACGACCTTTGGGTGATTATATAAACCACTACGAGACATTAAACTATGACAGAGCTCCGATTCTTGATCAACACCATCGCGTGAGGCGTTCAAGTCCAAATACCCCTCCTTGTTAGTTTTCGTTATTACGAAAGCTGAGACCCCCAAAATCCAGTTCATCGAATTATGAAGTCAGATATGGCCTTTCAAAGTCTATTCATGTTAATTAAGGAGGTAAGGGTTAACTGTTAGTTTTAACGGAAGCTCCGCTTTTACGCTGCGCTAAATCTTCTAAAATTGCATTTAGCAGTTACGAAGAGGTCTATAGAAAGTTGCTGCCATGTCTTGCTTCCTTCTGTCATGTTTAATTTTCTAATTCTTCCTCTTTTTTCACAAAATTTTTATTTTTTAAAAATAAATTTCAGGTTTTCTGAAGCTGAGAAAGCAAAGCGCCATCCGTATGCCTTTAACCCGTTTGGTTACGGTCCTCGCCACTGTGTTGGAATGAGATTTGCCTTGTTGGAAATTAAACTGACGCTGGTGAAAGTATTAAAAAAGTTCAAGTTGGAAAAGACTGACAAAATGGAGGTTCGTGTGGATGGGATTTAGATGTATACAGCTTTTTCGAGAAAGGTTGTCGGACAAAGTGCACGCGACAATCCCGAAAGGTATTGTGGGTGGTTTTAAGTTCACTGTTATTCAAAGAAAGTCAGGATAGAATGGCACGGCAGGCCATGGACGTATGTTTGCGAGTGCTAAAGGAAAGCAACGACAGTAGGTTCAACAGCTACAGTGTCAGGGAACAGCGTATTGATCATATCCCATTTTACCTTTCGAGATTGTCGCGTGCACATTTTTTTCGACAACCTTTCTCGAAATATCTGCATGTTGTCGTTCAATTGATTTCATTTTCCCTTTTTTTAAGGGCATCTTCACATGAGCCCGGTTGACGCAGGGCTGGCCCGGTTTCCGAGATCTCGCCTTACCTCTAAATCCTTTGTAAAATTAATTTGTTTCCCAGAAACCTGAATTGATCCAAAAAGCCCTTAAGGCCTGTTTACATGGAGGTGGGGGACCCAAAGTAGGTGAGGTAACCTGCTTAGGTGGGGTAACCCACCTGCCCATATAATCTCTCATTTTCCTGACTGCAAAGGTAAAATGTTATTTAAGCAGTTTCCTACCTTGTTTTGGTTACCATGGATTGCTCAGAAATTATTTCACTTTCTCTTTTTTTTGCAGGCACCATTGTATGTTAATACAACTTCTGTTCTCACTTGCCCTCCTGAAAAAATCGTGCTTCGGGTCTCCCCGCGGAATTGAAAAAAAAACAACGAAGACGAACTTGTCATGTGATGTTATATGTCGATGATTTAAGCTTTGTTTAGGTTAAATGCAAGCGAAGTATGTAGTATTCTTTTTTTATCAAACAAAGTGAATTGAAGCTACACCACGGAACCGGAGCCAGAGGATATTGATACGGACTCAAAAATCTGTAGGCTATAAGAGGGGATGCCATTTTTTTTGGAAAAGATGTCACAGAAACTATTTTATCTTTAAAAGTATATATGTCACTTTATATTTTAGGAGAACTCTAACGTGCGGAGCAATCATTTCCGTGTCCTTTTGCCCAATGTCCTTACGCGTGAGCGCGTCTCTCGTGCTTGCCTGCTTGGCTCTAAAGTAAACGGAAACGACTGCCACGCATGCTAAGAGAACTCGGACCGTATTAACTCGTTTTCGTATTGGGAAAACAAAGGGTAGTATTGTCTCGTAAGGCCTAGGATGTAAATGATCGCCCCAGGTAAGGGAATCCAAGAGAGACTTGGATTATGGATTCCAGTCGTTAGTGGGATTCCGGGTTCCAACATCCTCGGAGACCCAGGGGCAGATAGTGGGGGCGAGGGAAAGTCTAAACGGGCGGAAAAATATGGCAGAAGTCAGAACGGCGGCGACCGTTTGGAACTGATCTGGTAAGACATTGTCCCCAGGGGCTCTTCTCGCCGCTCTTTACTTTTCTTCGTGCCATATTTTTCCGCCCGTTTAGACTTTCCCTCGCCCCCACTATCTGCCCCTAGGTCTCCGAGGATGGGATTCCAACGACTAGGTTTCCGAATTTTTGAGAAATTGTAAATGCCGAGACTAGCAATGTGTTCCAATAACTTGAACTACCTGCAACTAATAAAACATCACGTCTTTACCACATTCGACGCACGTATAAGAAATGTAAGATGTAAAAATAAAAATGTTTTAAAATTCTCCACCTACGAGGCTCGAAGAGCGAAATATATTTGGAGGATTTTAAAACATTTTTGTTTTTACATTTTACATTTCTTATACGTGCGTCGAATGTGGTAAAGACGTGATGTCTTATTTTGCAAGTAGTTCAAGGATTCCGGATATCACAGGCAAAATTTTCCGGATTCCGGGTTCTACTAAAGCAAAAGTTTCCATGATTGTGGAATCTGGATTCCTTTTCTCCGCGCGAAAATGGTGCCCGCTCTCTCCCAGACTTCGCGCGGACAACGGATCAAGAGAGAACGCCTAGGGACTAGGCTGAGGTGATCCGAGTCCAAGTTTTGTACCTGCCTGACTGCCGGACTATGTCGTTGACTATCGAGTGACTATAGAATCAGTATAACCCACTATGCAAAGAAAGACCCTTACTTCCAAGCACAATAAAGAACATGTTTTATATTCGAAATGTTTCTTTTTTAATCATCGCTTTACTTTGTGAACGATAATTGATTCAATCTTCATTTTCATTACTAACTTTATCTTCATAGCTCTCAGTAATAACATGGTAGATTGTATTCATGTCTTCATTCTCATTTATTCATCATCATTCATGTCCTCATTGTCGTCATCATCATCGCTATCGCCGTCATCGTCATCAAGTCAAAGCATGTCAAGCGTTCCTGCCGCTAGTGGACTAACAAATTCATGAATGGAAAAATGATCCGGTTTGTCGATTCAATAATCCATTCATAAAATGAATGATCCAATAGTCAAATTGGACCTCGATTCAATAATTAAATGTTGATTTGGTTTATGAACAAAATCTACCTGTTCTTTATTCTTGTCTGTTGCGTTCAATCATATTTGCTTCCCTTTTCCTACCGTTTACGATTGCGTAAACTGACAAAGGCCGAGGATCAAAATCCACCAATCACCGCACATACACTGACCACAGTTTGACCATCGTGTTACTCTGATTACTGGCAGCAAAATGGCGTACATGTAACAGTTTGTTTGGGTTTGAATTTCAGAACTCGCTCGCAGTCGGCTTAGAAGAAAAAGAAGAAAAAGCAAAATTCTCAGGTCGACTTGTGGAAAGTGTAGTTTTTCAAAAAACAGAAATCGAATCAACATTCGATTATTGAATCGAGACTGAATACGAATATTGGATTGTTCATTTTATGGATGGATTATTAAATGAACAAACGAAATCATTTTTCCATTAATGAATTCATTAGTTCGTTAGCGACAGGAACGCTTATTGACCTGCTTTGACTGTAAATATTAGCCGACCATGCATCTTTACTCAAAACACTTAGCTTGTTATGGTTACAAGTCCTTTTTCGATTCTTAACAACAACAACAACAATATCCTTTATTTGCATGACTATAATTACTTACAGTATTGTAAAAGGTACGTAAAAAAAGAACGAAAAGAAAAAGAAATAAAAATCATTATGATATTAATAACAGATAATCAAGTGACATTATTCTTACATGACAGTACACTGTCGCGCAGATTATTCAATAATGAAACTCGCTTACATATCTTACCGTGTAGTACCATTCCAAAGAAAACGGAAAACAAAACTTTGAACCACTAAGTTGACTCTTTTTTTTTCCCTTCCGCAATGTCGTAATTTTACGGTTAAGCGAAAAGGCCAAAATGGTAGTGTTGCTTGACACATCATTGTTCAAAGAAAAAACGGTCAGCATATTTCGTTTCCACCATCAAAAAGGTCGACAAATTTTCGGTGCATCACGCTTTTGAAGTACATTTCTTCAGTAATGTCCACTGCACGACCACGACAAGCAAAAGGTTGTGTACCGCGTCAGGGAGCTCCCAAAATAAACTGAAGCATCGTTGTTTTTATCTTTGAAGCTTTGCCTGCTTCTATAACCAGTCTCTTCTAGTAGCTAGGGATAGAGCCTGTAAAAAAAGTCGTAATATAGTGAGAGTGGTTTTGAATTACGTCTCCTACCCGGGAGAAGCGCAGCGTGGGAGGGGGGGGGGGGGGGGGGAAAATTTCTTTTTTGGGGGGCGGTTTTACTCCATTTGGGTGGGGGTTTTTTGCCCTCGTTTTTTTTTAGCTGCGCCATTTTCGCTTTCCGCCAAACACGCCCCTGTTAATTTGTAGGTTAAAGGGCTTTAAGAGAGGGGAGGGGCTGCGTGAGGGGA